TTCATACTAACTACACAAGCAGGTTAATAGGGTAATATGACTTTTCCCCTTTCATTCAAATTAAAAATATTTGTACCACTAGAAATATGGAAACTGATAACCTCCCCTGAAATAAGATTTCTCCATTTCCCACTGGGGAAGCTAGCACTGCAATTTTATAATTACAACAGGTCACTTATCAGAAACTTTCAATGCCATTCCCTATCCTAATAAAAGAGCAATGTGCAAATTAACCATCACTCCATGACAAAGATGGCGGCGCCCATAGTGGCGGGGGTGGGGGGGGAGAGAGACACGCGGAGGGAGGGGTCTCTGGCCAGAGACCGGGGCGCAGGACGCTGGCGTCGTTGCAGGCCGGGCTGAGGGACCGTCCCCCTCCCCCGTCCATGAATTTCGTGCACCAGGCCTCTAGTATTATATATTGTCTAGGACAGTGGTCAGCAAATTCATTAGTCAACAGAGCCAAATAACAACAGTACAATTGAAATTTCTTTTGAGAGCCAAATTTTTTAAACTTAAACTATATAGGTAGGTACATTGTTATTAACTTAATTAGGGTACTCCTAAGGCTAAGGAAGAGCCACACTCAAGGGGCTCTTGATACAAAATAGAGACTGCAATTATCAATAATATATTCCCATAGCTCTCCCATCACTGTAAGTTCCTGTCATATATATTCATGTATCTGTAGTTTATTGAATTTTCTTTCCTTATTTGGTTATATGTATATTTTATTATAAACATTTTTATAGACATTTTTAAAAATGAGATAGTAGCACCAACATTACTGGATGAGCATCAACACTGAAGTACTTTACACAGCAACTTTAATCAAATAATTTGAGAATGTAGAAAAAAAAACTTTAAAAAGCAAAATAAATGCCAAAGTCCATTCACTAAAATTTGTTTATTTCAATCAGGAAGCATGCTTTTACTCAGTGTTTTTATTCTTTCTTTAAATAGAATTCTTAAAAGTAAACACAGCTTGTTTACTAGAACACAAAAAAAGGACTTTCTTCTGCAAGTAGAGTTTTGCTTCTCAGAGTTTATATCATGAGCAAGACAGCAGTTGAAAACCATTTTCTGAGAAATGAAAACTTGTAAGCTTTACTAACAAACATAACAAAAGAAAACTCTTTTCCAGTACTATTCCAGATGATACAGCAAACCTAACACAGAAGGAAAGAACAAGGGCAAGGATTAGAGGAAACAATGGCCATACAAATGGATGGCCTCCAGCATCCCCGCAGCTGAAACTGGTTCCTCATGTACCATTCACACCCTCTCCAGGGTCTCAGCCAGAAGGGCCTACTCCACAGACGCGCACATGATTAGGACCAGAACATGGTGGGAAACACACACACACACACACACACACACACACACACACACACACCCCTTGGCCTGCCATGCCTGCCCAATGACCTATGGCCTCAAAGGCATCAGTCCCTGGAAAGCAGGGAAGAAATAACATAATGTGGGAGATACACAGAAGAGAGAGGGCTTGGGCTTGTAGCTATGGAAACACAAGGGAGGGAGGAGCTCTCAGCTGTGGTGACACATCAGGCCAAGACCCAAGTAACCAGCAAAGAGGACGCCTCATGCCGAGCCTCTTGGCTCTCTGTACCTTTTCCATAGCTGTGATCAAGAACATACCCACTAGCTTCCTAGGTAAGATATGGTAATAACTCAACTTACACACTGGAAGACAGGATGTGGCCTTACAGAGTCTTCCAGGCCACTAGGAAGGGTCTCACTCAGGAGAAAAAGATTCACAAAAGTCACACCAGAGTACCCAATATAGAGATACCAGTTGCCCCTGAGAGACAAACTATAAAAATGCCCTTAAAAAGTTTATATTGGGTAGTTTTTGAAACACCCTGTCCTTGACTTCCAAAACTCCAAAGCTATCTCTGTGCCTCCCCTGACATTTAGTTCTTGAACATCATCTGTTCACCAATGACTGAATTTCATTGTATAAACTGCACAGCCGTTATGGCCCCAAGAGAAATCAGGATGGGATGTTACAGCCACGGGCAACTGGAAAGCAGGAACATTCTGCCCATACTTGTATGTCAGCTCTCAGAAAATGCCCAGGCTGCAACAGTAACACCCATGGTATTTTCAGTGATTCTACAGTCATACAGTAAAAGCACTCCAAGACTGCAACCTCACACTGCTGTGCAGCAATCCCAACAGATGATGCACATGAGCATCCCATCTTGTCTGACTTCATGGCCACATAAAGTTTGGGTGTTTCTATACTGGTATGCAACAAACAACTGCAGGTTCAGATTAGGCTCTCTATCTCCTTTCATTTTCTTTAAAATATATTTTTATTGATTTCAGAGAGGGGGGAGAGAGACACGCGGAGGGAGGGGTCTCTGGCCAGAGACCGGGGCGCAGGACGCTGGCGTCGTTGCAGGCCGGGCTGAGGGACCGTCCCCCTCCCCCGTCCATGAATTTCGTGCACCAGGCCTCTAGTATTATATATTGTCTAGGACAGTGGTCAGCAATAGAAACATCATTGTTCAGCTGCCTCCTGCATGCCCCCTACTGGGGGGTCAAGCCCACAATCCAAGCATGTGTGAAGTATGGTAGCAACCATCTCAGGTAGAAATTATAGTTTAACTTTAACCTTGCTGTTTGGCTTATGTACCTATTTGCTTTGTTTAACAATGGACAGGTTATTTTGATTTTCTGAATTATATAAATCATCCCATTCGATTAAATGCCTTATTGATTGTAATGTGAATATCCCATGGGTTGTGGTCATACTGGTCTTAGAAAGCACATTTTCCTTTACCTGGGAAGGACAGCACAGTTATCCCAAGGTCAGAGGGCTCTAGACCCAA